GAAGCGGGCGCCGGTCACCATTTTAGAAGCGGGAGCCCGAGCCGCCATTTTGGAAGCGGGCGCCTTCCCCCGCTGAGGAGACCCCGAATTAACGGGGTTTCACCCCAATTTCTGCCTTCCCCACCCTCGGTGGTGACGCCTCCCGCCAGTGTGTCCTCCCCAAAGCAAACTTCACCGGAGACAGGGAGGGAAACGTAAGGAAAAAGGGTTAGAAATCGCGGCACCGTATCTCCCTGCAGCTTCTGGTGGGGATTGTAAATCAGCAGAAAAGGGCTATTGCGGGGGTGCAGGGGGGTGGTTTTTTGGGTTATTTTTCCCCGAATTTAGGTGTCTCGAAGAGACCTGTGACATAGTGGAGAGGCCGATGCAGCAAAGAGGCCAAAACTGTGAAAACCACACCAAAAAACCCCTCCTTTCTCCCACCTTCGGGCCAGAAACCCCCAGGTCAGTGACCGTCACCCCTGAAAAAGGCATTTCCGAAGGAAAAAAAAAAAGCTCATCCAAGTTCTTTTCTGCAATATTTAATACTTTATGTCAGAAAATGCAGCCTCTAGCTGATGGGTGAGCGAGGCTGGGGCAAAAATGTGGCTTTTTTTCCCCCCAAAAGCACTACTTTTGAGGCAAAAGGGGCTGCTTTGAGGGGCTGCTGCTCCAAACCCCCGCAGTGTCTTTTATTAATTTAAAAAAAATGGTTAAAAACTGATAAAAAAAGGCAAAGCAAACCCCCCACCGGCTGATAAGGTCATTAAGGCTTAATCATGATCACAAAGTGGTGACTTTTAATTAACGAAACGCCTCAGGAGTGGGGTTCCGAGCATCCATCCCCCCCCCAGCCTTGCTGGTTTGGGGGTGAATGAACCTGATTTAGGGGCATCCCTTCGGTGGAAAAAGGGATGATTTTTAGCGGTTATTAAGAAGTTGTTTAATAGGATCCTCTACGGACTGATGGCTCCCCCCCTGCCAGCACCCTATAGGGACCCCCCAACATCCTATAGGGACCCAGAACCCCCCCCAGCACCCTATAGGGACCTATAGACTATTCCCAACATCCGGGCACTTCCCGCCCCCTATGAAAGACGGCGGTGTAAAATCAGAGGTGCATTAGGAGTCAGGACAGAAAGGCGTCCGAGGCTACACGGACCTCCTAGGATGGGAGAAGGGATAACGGGCCATGCCCTGTCCCCACAGATCAAAAATATCCCCGATGGTCATTGAAGGGGAACATGACTAGACCGAGATCCGTTTCTCGCCGTGTCATTACACCAAGCGCTTGCGTTTTTAAAAGCGGGACGGGCAGGAGAGACATCCCATGCCCTAGGCTGATTTTTTCCTGTAGACTTCAACTTCACACAAAAGTCCACCATGGAGATCCCACCATGGAAGGAGACAGAAGAGCCGTGGCAGGAGATCTGCGGCCAAGCAGAAGACCAGGGCCCAGGCGAAGCGTCGTCCCACCGAGAAGAAAAGGCCTCTCAAAGGTTCCTTCCGCTCCGACAACGCCGAGACGCTGGAGAAGATCAAGCGAGTCAAGGGGTCCCTCTCCCAGCAGGCCAAGGGGCTGATGGTCAACTTCATGGAGGACATCTACAAGGTGGTGTCCAGGGAGGCCGAGAGGCTGTGGAAGGAGAGCCGGGAGCCCCTCATCGGCCCCGCGCACGTGGAGGCCGCCCTGAGCCTGGTGGTGCCCAAGAGGAGGTGGAAGAAGGTCTTCACCGTGGCCTCCAGAAGCAGGAACTGAAGAACTTCTTCCTCCCCCTTGCGGAGAGAAAAGAAGACCTAAAGTTCAAGGGAGAGGAGTTAAAACCGCCCCAAAACCGTCCCCCTCGATTTTCCCCTTCGCTGGAAAGATCCAATCGGGCAAGAGCCAAGCAATGGCCAAGAGAATAATCAGCTCGACATCGCAATAAAGCCCCGATGCAACGGCTTTTTGGGGAAACCCACCCCTCCCCGAGAAAAACAAAAATAAAAGGGTAAAAAGGTGATATTTTTAAGGGGAATGAGTTTCCCTGACCGGGAATCGAACCCGGGCCGCGGCGGTGAGAGCGCCGAATCCTAACCACTAGACCACCAGGGACCCCGTTGAACACCCTTTTGCAGATCTGAGCACCGTTTTCTCCCCCGTTTTTCCACCCCACCCCACCCCACCTTATCGGGGGCCGTTTCCACCCCCCCCCCCCCCCCCCGGTTTTTTTCCCAAAAAATTGGGTGGTTTTTTTTTTTTTTTTGTTTTTTTTTTTTGGGGGGGGGGAAGGGGAGAATCGGGATTTGTTTTTAAAACCCCGAATTTTCATTTTTAGGAGGAGAAACGGTGTATAAAGAGGGGGATTTGAACCCCCTTGAGTCATCCTGACACCCCCACCCCCCAA